GTGTGTGTGTGTGTGTGTGGTTGAGGTGGCGGCGTGGACAGGTGTCCGCCGACTCATTTCCCGTGACCTCCACAGTATCTGCACGGGTTGGGCGGTTGCGGTTTGCCTGCCGTACCGTCCCGTGTTCGCGGTTGGTGCGTTGGTTGAGGCGGGCGGGTTTGGGAAAATTTTTTTTGCGCCGGTTTCGGCTGTGGTTGTGTCGCTGGTTCGTCAGGTGTGTACTCCAGGACTCCAGCGATCCGGCGGAGGTCTCCGAAAGTCGCTAGTCTTTGCAATCTTATGTGCGTGCGGTATTCGTTGCGCGTTAGTCCGGCTATCGTACCGACTAGCTGTGTTTCAGATAGTCCGGTATTGACGCGGCGTGCAAGTTGATTTTTTTGCGTCACGAACTCCGTTAGCGATTGCGTTGCGGTTTGTCGGACGGATACTATCTCGGCCCGCAGCCGTGACTGAATTTCCACGTTGTCGAATTTTTCTAAAAATTCGGCGCGGAACTCGTCCCAGGTGACGTCCAGTAGTCTGATGGTGTTCCACCAGGTACTGGCTGCATCCTTTAGCTGCTGTGCGATAATATTTGTCCAGGCCGACCTATCTATACGCGTTTGGTACATTATCGACTCCGCTTTATGTATAAATCTTGCCGGGTCCTCGGGTGTTGTCCCGTGGTACTCCGGCAGTGAATGTCTCGCTGCACATACGTCGTCGTATGGTATCAGCGTCGATTGTTGTGCCGCGTAGGTGTGTGTGGAGGAGGGGGCATGGTGTAAATTTGTTGTGTCGTCGAATCGTACTGAATGGTCGGCGTGTTGGTTACCCGCGGACGGTGGTTCGCGTGCCGCGGGGTACCTCGCTCCGTATTCCGTGTTGTTCGATAACACTGTGTGGTGTAGGCGGGTCGGTGGGATTGCATCCGGTTGTTGTTCTGGTGCTAGGCGTGCCATACCCATTCCGAGGTGTCACATTGTCTCGGCAATGCGATGTTGGTCAGCGCCGAAACGGCCCATCCAGTTTTCGAGCATGGTCAGTCGCGAATCCAGACTGTGCCCATGCGTCGAGTTTTCCGCCCCTTGCCGTACCTCCTTAATAATAGATTGACCCGTTTGGATCGTGTCCATATCTTGTTGGTGTGTGAGTGGGGGTGTGGGTATTCTATTGTTGGTGTTGTTCGGATTTTGGGCGGGTGATGACTCGACCCGTATTTGCGCGGTTTGTCCGGCGTCGGGTACCTGACCTGTGGCCGAGTTAAGTCCGGTCAGCCCAGTGGGTTCCATGGGTGGAAACCGGACTTCGTTGGCCTGTAGGTTCAGGTCCGCGAAATGCTGTGTTAACCGGATTTCGAGATCATCCTTCGCGCCCGTACCCGATGAACCGCGCTGTCTGCATTCGTAGCGTAATTCCGCGGCGGTCAATTCATTAATATATTTTCCCGGCATGACTTCCGGTTGTTTTTCCGGTGTTGTTGACGAGAAATTATAAAATGTGGCTGTTGTCGTTGGAACGGGTATCGCGTTCCTTCGATCAGCTGTGTTGCCCGCTTATCGGTGTTTATTTGCGTACGGAATGTAGGTCAGTGGGTTGTTATTTTTATTGTTACGATTGCCGGGCGATCACAGTAACTGGTCTTCGAAGAGTGTTTTCGCGGATGCGCGTGTGTGCATTATCCGGCACACTACTGCGATTAGGGAAGGCAGCGGCTGTCGCTTTTAGCGGCGGCAGTCCGATTATGTGGTATTTTTGTCCCGGGTAATCGCGTGTTGACGTTGGCGGATGGTGGTGCTGGGCGGTGGTGGTGAGACCCTCTCGCGCTCTTGCGTTCCTACCTAATGCCTACCTACGTCGTGTGTGTTTGGAGCGTCACGCGCGGTGTGGTCGGTGCGTCCGTAAGTCGGGCGGCGCGGCCGGTCGTTACGTCCTTTATGGTTATGCAATATATTACGTAACGCCGGTTTTTCCGTTAACGCCTGCAAACCACGTTTTTGTCGGATCGCGTTGGTGACTTTTTTCCAAATCGCGCAACGGGGTTTATTTGGGGGTGGTAGTAAGTGGTAAGAAAGTTTTTACTTACCGGTGATTCCTTTTTGGGGAGCCAGTTGATGCGGCCTATTGTGGTGCCGCGTGGACGTTGATGTGATGGTGTCCACAAATCAGGTCGGAACGAACAAACGAACTAACAAATAAATGATGAAAAAGAAACAAAATAAACATTGAACGACGCACTGAGGTGTTATTGACTGTTTATTGCTATCAATGACACGAGTAAAAAAAAACATCCAATATATAATAACAGAGTTTCAACGGTATCGATTACACGGGGACGTGTGTGTATTACGGAGGTGTATCCGGGTCGATGTCGTGAGGACGAGAGAGAGAGTCTTGACAATCCGGTTCACCGGACGGCCGGCCGACGGTTCCAGGCGCGGGTGTCGCGCGCCGGCGTCGTCCGTCGTCGATTGGCGGTTTGATTGAGAAGCCACGGCACGGCTTCCGGGTAAAGGCTGTTTGAATTCAAACAGATTTTACGCGGGACCGCGTCACAACCAACGACTTTTACCCAATATATAGTTCATATTTTCTACAAAATGATTTATGTGTGCAAAACTTTATAATATGTAACTGTTAAAAAAAAAAGATATTAGGACGAAGCACACAATGTAATCTATACAAAACGAAAGAGCAGTGCCTTTGAAATGTCATGATATACTACTTGTATCAGTGAAATATTGAAAGTTTTAATTTTTGTTTTTTTATCATTTTAATTTTCTCAAAATCCTTAACATTATCATTATTCATTGTGTATTATCTTAACTTCATATGAGTGATTAAACTTTTCATGTTTAAATGTTATGCTGCAGTGTATACTAATCATTTTTTTTAGTCTGCGATTAATTTTTTTATAGTTTTTATATTTTAATTTAGTTTTTATTTTTTTATTTTATATTTATTTACAGTTTAACAGATATTGTATTAAAATTAATATTTCATTTTACATTACTATTATACATTTTACCTATAATATCTAATTAATCTATGTGGTGTGCGCACACCTGCACACCTTAAGGCACGAGCCGCCACTGGTTGAAATTGTCTTAATATAATTTAACTATAATATAAACCAGTCAGAATCGAAAAAAAATAATAATATTAAGTGTATACAATTTTATTTGGAAATATGTTTCTTTCATATTATAAATTCAAATATTAAAGACAAGCAAACATGTACTTATATACTTGATTGTAATTATTGTAAATATGCATTATATTAATACTATTGTTTATCGTATAAATATCGTGTACATTAATCATAATATAATATATTACAGGCCAGCCATAATTTAAATTTATATCAATTATATTGTTGTAAACAAGTCAACAACTCCGAAGTAGTTTTTTTGAGGATTTCAATTATTTTTCCGAAGCACGTTTTACTGTGATATCTCAGGACAATGTAATTAATTTGCTTCGAATACTAAAATGTGGGCGTTTTTGGAATGCTGTGGCCACTTTTGTATTTTCGTGATTTGGTTTTTTATTTGTACTCAGTTGGTTTTGTTCTCCCTAATCATTATGCTGTATCTGCCAGATTTAACATTATTCTCGTAGAAAATGCAGCTGTGTAGCTTATAGGAGCGATTGTGAATTTTCAGTACAGACGTTGGCAAAGCCTTTATTTTGTAATTGCAGAATATATAATCCCCAGGATTGCTATTATAGGAGTTTTCCAACTGTAATTGAATAATCAAAACTTTGTTGGTAATTTTTGGATCAACCTGAACATTATGAGTTGTATCCTTGTTACAACTTAAACATGTAGTCCAGGTTTTTTTAATTGAAAGTTCGAAATCCATAAGTGTTTTTAACTCATACGTTATTTTCGAATCATTTTTTATGGGTACTCGCATAATATTTGATTGAAATTCTTGGACATTTTTACAAGAACATACAAAGCAAGTTTTAATATAAACACCCTTGAACGAAACGATATCATTAATTTGATTACTTTTATTCAAAATTGATTGTAAGAAGTTGGGTATTGTTATGTTATTATTTGTTGGAAACGTATACTCGTGTCCAGCGAAAAGCATAAATTCTCGCAAATCTTGCAGTCTGTTTGCCCAGTAATTATTGATCATCACGTTCAAGATATGATCTGGTGGAAGTATTTTTATTTGATTCCTCAATGTTGGATTTGATAACAGTAAGAGGAATGGAACCGCTGCAAATGAGTTATAACCGTCTTCTGGGAACCCTCTGAGATTGGATATGTTATTTGCTGGATCATTATTCTGTTGAACTTCTAAAACTTCTCTTGGAATAGCCCAAACCTGTTCAACATGGTTATGATCAAGGCAACCCGTGGTGGGAAGACAATAACCTACCAAGTCGGGTCTAAATTTTTGTCTCAAGAAGTTGTATTGCAAGATTGATAGTGTATCTGCAACAACTTTAAAAGTATCATAATTTATTAGGTGTAGGCCATTCAGAGAAGTGACTCTAGTTAGGGCTACATATATTTGTCCCTTTGCAAAATTGTGCACCCCTGCGTCAATGACTACAGTCTTTAAGCTAATGCCTTGACTTTCGTGTACGGTTATAGCATAGCTCAAGATCAAAGGAAACTGCTCTCTATTGACGTAAACGCCAGTTGATATTTCAAAAGTGACCCTTATCCTTTCAATTCCATGGATTTCTCCACTCAATAATCTAACATTGACTTTTTCAACCTCATCGGTTACAGATCTTGTAATTGAGTCTACTACACATAGAGTTCCATTAATTAATCCAAGTGAAGTATCACTATTACGTCGGATCATGACTTTTGAATTTTTTTTAATCGTGATTTTCTTGGGAAAACGAGCCGTGACAGACGGGTCTTCATTTTTTTCTAATTTCTTTTTAGTATATTGCAGTTGTTGTGGGTTCTTAGCGTCTATTTTATCATTGGCGTGTAGTGTGATTTCCGGTTCGTTATTTCTGGCTAACATAGCCTCGTTCAACGTATCTCACATATCATTTGTAGGCATTATGCAAACAGCATCACTAAGAGCTTTCACGTAATCACAAAGTTTGTATAATCTTTCACCTGGATTATGGAAATTCAAATTAATCACACGTGTTTTTAAAATGTTCGTATCAGCATCACTCACAGTGCCTACTCGCAAATTGGCAAGAATTGTTTTGTAAGTGCCATCATCTTTTTGACGCATATTTATTCGTAATTCATCGTAATCCAGTAGAGACCACAAATGTACGGGAGCAACGGATTGTACACATTTATTTAAAGTTTCTGTTGGAACAGGCCCGAAAACGGGACCATCACTGACAGGTGGCAGTTGCAGTAAATCGCCAAAAACCAACAAATGCATTTTTCCGAACCAGCCATCTTCGTCGTCAAATGTATTGAATATTTCAACTAATCTCAAGTGCATGTACAAAAATTGACAATTGAGACCATAGATATTTCATCGACATTCACCAAAACTACATTTTTAAGGGCTTTTCTAATTGCGTCTAGTGCTGTATCAAAAAGTGGAGAGTATTTAGGCGTGCCTCTTTTATGTTCAACGGGTAGTTGCAACAATCGGTGCATGGTTAAACCTCCTACATTAAATGGCGACATCTTTTTTGAGTTCCTGACGAAAAGCGTGAACTAAACATTCTATGACGTAACTTTTTCCCGTGCCAGCTTCGCCAGTAACGAACTTTTTGCATATTTTGTTACCATCCTTGACTAATTAGAAGACTGAATCGAAGACCCTTCGTTGATCCTCATTTATGGATTCTACTCCTTTTTTCCAGTCAAAATTATCTTCTACTTCCTGTTTTTTGTTTCCCTGAAAATCATCCATGGCATTCTCGACTTCACACAACCTATATCCTCAAAAATGTCGTTATTTTTTTCTTGTGGGTTTTTCTGTTGCTGTTCTTCATCTTCAATATTTTGAGCCATTTGTTCCAGCATTATCTCTCGGTTAGTTATTTTTTCGAAATACGAAACCGCATCAGGTAAATCACCTTTTTTTTTATCATAAAGGAAGCCTGATACGTCTCACAGCCATATAAAAGTTCGTCAGTCGACCTCCATGGCTGTTTCAACAATAGTAAAGAATAATAAAAGTTCTCCGGCTGTATTTTTACTTTGAAGATGTAATGACTGATAACGTATGGTTTTGCTCGCTTAACTTAATATTTTGTTACAGTTTTATTAGCGAAACTACTTTTAATTTCATGAAATTCTCTATTTTCTCTTTTGGGTTTTTCAGGTTTCAATTCGTACCACTGTGTGAATTCATATAGGCACATGTCGGTTAACGCGATCGGTCTATTGGGATAAATATCATAAGCTTCTCGCCTTTTTTTATTCTTGAGCGCATTGTCTTGTCGCATTTTTTCGGCGTTTTCTGCTTGAAAATCTGCACAGATTTCTCGTCTTTTGAGATGTGTGGGTTCCATACACTGTTCGGCTATTTTTTTAGAAGGAAACGGAGTAATTACCTCAGTTATAAATATGTTGGCAAGATGAAACCTTAATTTATCTACTGAATCATAAACTAAGGGCTCAGGATTTAAGCTAAAATGGAGCGCAACAGCATTTGCTATAGCATAAACACCGCAATCAAGAGATCCCGGTTTTTGTAGCTGAAGCTGTGGAAATTCTATAGAACCACCAAGCTCAAAATATGAGGGGAAAAGATTGCCTAAAACTAACTCATAATTAATATGACTGGTTTTGATTACAGATAAAGTATCGAAAATGAAAATTTGATGAAAATTATAGTAACTGCATACCCAATGATGAATATCCGTCTCATTTACACCAATTGGTTTAAGCAAAATCTATATATGCTTGTCTGTATGCAATACTTGGACATCCGTATCACGTGGAGCTTGCAAGTCATTGTTAGAGCAGAAAAACGGATATCCAAAATTTTGCATCATGAGGTTTTGAAAAAAACATTATGTGATCAACGTGAAGAGCCAAATCAGATTTTAGTATCTCGCTAACGAGTATCTCTTTCGAGAAAATTATATCCATATTTGATTTTAAATATTTTATTTTATTTTATTAGGCTGTAATTACGTAATGAGACTAATGAATGTTCTCCTGTTATAGCGTTAAAAACACTACTAAACAGCTCACAATTGTCAAAATAAAATATAAATGTTTATAATTATATAATATATAATTATTAATTATAAATTTATATTGATAATACAATTATTTAATAATAATTATTATTATTATAGTATTAAAATAGTAATAATAGGTACATATTTACGTAGATGTTGTTTTGTAACCATAAATCGCGTAAAATAACGTATGTAATAATGAAAATACACGAGACCTCGGTATCGCAACAACACGAGTACTGCTAAAGTCAATCATACGAATTTGTGACAAAAAAATTATACCTATTGTAACAGCAAAATTTACAAATCGTAGTATGTTCCACGGCGTCCGCAGAGTGAATAGAATAGACATAGAATAGAATAGAATAGAATAGAAGACTAGCTAGCTGTTGTTGTGGGTGATGTTGGTAAGGTTGCGGCCGGCGTGTGGCGGTTGCTACGGCGCGGCGTTGGAAGGGGAAATTTGGGGGGCCGCATCTCGCTGTATGACGGACGAAAGAAAGAGACTCACAGAACTGCAGTTTTTAGCTCTGTCCCTCTCGCACTCTGCATTCAACCAACGCGTGCGAGTGAGAGGTCCGAGCGCCGAAACGAAACTTAATGTATAATTGTCTCGCTATCGGTTGTCCGGGTGCTGTTTCTTATCGGTGTTATTTATGCACAGAAAGGAGTCTCTAGCGAGACTCTTCGATAATATTGTGGATTGTAATCTGTATTTTGTCAATAATATTTAATAATTATAACCAGAAAAATATGGTGGAATGTACCATATAATTACAATAATGTACCTAAATATCTGTAACAACATAATATGTAAACATGTAATAATTGATAATAATTGATATATGTAAAATTTGTAACCATAGGAAAGTGATTGAACCAATGGAGGGATGATTGAGTTAATTTTTCTCGTTTTAGACGATAAAAATCAACTTTTGAAGGGGGAGACAGGCACGCCCGCAGAGATGCAGCTCAGGGGGGGCAAACAAAATTTTTTTAAATAAAAACAAATTTAACTTTATATAAAATTACACTATTAGTTCTAATATTTATAAGAAAGAACATATTTAATACATTTTAAACAAAAAACCACTTTATTTAATTTAATTTATATCATATTATCATCATATTATTATTATTCAAAAAGTAATGACAATCTCCTTTTGTTTGAAGCAAACAAATTAATTGAATCATCAATTTGTTGATTCAAAAATTGTTTATTATCATACCTTTAGCGGTGTATATAAATCAACCCCAAGCTACTCAGCCTTTCATTTCCCATCCTATTTCTAATCCAAGTCTTTAAACGGCGTAAAGTGCTGAAACATAATTAAAAAGTTATTTTAAGTATGAACTTATACACTGAATACAATTTGTAAAAATACTGATTTAAAAACCGTACCTAAACGATGGTTCTACTGAGCAGGAAGTTACAGGTAAAGTAATTGCAATTTGTATAGCTTGGCATACTACTGGGTAATATTTGGCGTAATCGAGAATATCAATTAATTTCATGGTGGGTTCGACTTCTTTATTTTTCCATAAATCATACCATGACAATGCTTGTTCTTTAAAATTGTCTAGAAGTGAACCATAAAGTGTATAAATAACTTCAATACTTTCTATGAATTTTTGGTCACTCGTTAGTTTCATTTTTTTTGGGTGTAGGTTGTATAATGTAAATATTTTTCATTTTTCATCTGAAAATCTATCTTTTAGAGACATTATAATTGATTCCAAGTATGGTATAAATAATGATTGTCTAAAATATATCTCAACATCATTAGTTGGATAGTTTTCACGATGTACTTGTTTAATACTACGCCGTGGTAACTTTAACTCCAAATCTATTTTAGAAGCAACTAATTTTACTCCATTAAATATTGTATTGAACCGATTCTCACAATTATTACGGTCTATTTCTAACATTGATAAAAGGTCTTGAATATGTTTTGTAGCTTCTTGCAGGTCAACATCTACCGCTTGAAGAACTGTTGATACAGTTTCAAATTTCGAAGAATATTTTGCCATGATTGATAATATTACAACAAATGTTGGAGTAGTGATTGCAGTAAGCATTTCATAGGTACGTTGTCTAGTTTTGCTGTTGAAATTATTGGATTTTGATATTTCTTCCAAGCCTTCAACAATTGTTACATATTGGTCCTTAAATTGTCTGATACTTTTATGTTTTTCAACGAACCTTGTTTCACATAATTTTGTCAAATGACTCCCTACAATATTTCTACGAAGTGCACTATCTCTAACAAATGTAGTAACTTCTTTTATTTTCCCTATACAATTTCTAACTTCAGCAAGAGAATTCAAATCATTTATTACCAAATTTAAACGATGACTAGCGCAATGGAAAAAATTAGCCATAGGATACACATTATTAATTCTTTTTTGTACTCCAGATATATGGCCAGCCATCGTAGCACATCCATCGTACCCCTGTCCAACACATTTATTCATGTCAATGTTTAGGTTAGTACATGCTTCATTGTTTGAGTAATAGATGAAGCATCAAACTCTTTTAAGGGGAAAAACCCTAAAAATTCTTCATGCAAATTTGTGTTATCCAGATACCTTACACAAATTGATAACTGCTCAGTACCATTAATGTCAGCCGTTTCATCAACAATTAATGAAAAACTAAATGCTTGCATAGCTTCATTGGTAATCACTGATCTTAAACTAGAAGATAAACATTCTAATAATTCATTTTGCACACGGTGTGATATATATAATGCACTTTTATTGGATTTTTCTAAATGAGTTTTTAAAGTCAAATCACCAGCATCAACTCTGAATCGTAATAAGTCATTAAATACTGCAGTGTTGTCTGTATCTCCCCGAATCGGTAAATTATGTATTGCACAAAATAGAAGTGAAGAAATTATTGGTTTTAATTTATTTCTATTTTGTTCAATTTTATTTTTATAACAAGAATCTAATACCTGGTCAATACCAAAATTTATTTTTTTCATATCTTTAAAATCTTTGGATCGTATGAAAGATTCAATATGCCATTTATTTTTCTCATGTTGATTAGCCTTTTCTATAAATTTTTTATGATTTACAAATGAGCTAGTTATAAAAGATCCAAAGTATGAACCGTGTGTCACACGAGGCCGAAAGAGAACACACGTAAGGCAAAGAGCTCCTTTCAATAACTCTGAATAAACTAACCATGGGTATTGTGAAAACCATTTAAACAAAAATGGACGTTTACTGTCTTCAACATCATTTTTAAAATTGTAATGTTTACTAGGCATCCATGGATTAGTTAAAAGATCAAACTTTTTATCTTCAAAAATTTGTGAATAAGTTTCTATAAAATGTCCTAAATCGTTATTGGAAAGCACATTGGTGTGGTCTACAGAAATTAATGCAGGATCAGCTACGCATTCTTCTATGAGTACTTTATCTTTGTCACCAATCATAGCAAGTGACTTCTATAAAACCATAATAAATACATTTAATGCTTATTACAACTAAATTAGTAAAATAAAAATATAATCAAAGAATTTTGAGTTTATTTTTAAATTTATACCTACATTATTTAATAGTAAATTTTTATTTTTATTTTAATTAGTAAAATTTTACTACAAACAGACACACTAAACTTACTTCTTTAAAATTAGCTACAACATCGATCTGGTCAGAAACAAATTCCGGGTCATCTACACATTCTTCTACTTCATGATGATCAATTGCAGCAAGTGACTGCTATAAAAACAACACAAAATAAATACAGTATTAGATACTTACTACTACTTATTACTACAATTAAATGAGTAAAATAAAAATATGTTAAAAGAAAGAGTCTTATACACTCTTACCTTTAAATAATTAAAAAGTCTACATTATAATATAATCTAAAATCTTTGTAAAATAAAAATAATAGTAAATCTTACCTGTTTTCCTGAAATGTCATTATTTTGAACAACGTCGTCGTCAAGTTTTCGTTTTTTAATAGTTTTTGTTGATGTTGAGGTAGTCGAGCTGAAGTATTTCAAAATATTGTTTTTTGATTCTTTGCTCATTTTATGTGCGGTGGTAAACAGATTATAAGACAAATTGAAAGCACTGCTACAGAGAATAGAGTACAGACTGACTGCGCAGACATTTCAATATGGTCAATTATGAAAAATGCTATCGAAAGGAAATGTGAACATATATTGGGAATTATAATTTGTAAGATATCGATATCGCAATCGCAGAAACCGCTAATCGGTTTTAATATTATTTTATCTGTAATTCTGTCGTAAACGTCGTACATTATACGATATAATTTATAATCCCGTTTGCTTTATTGCTTTCCAAGTATTTTGATTTGATTATTATAATAATATGTTTTTCATACACGATTTCGGCAATTACGCCTAACCAGCCAAAAGTATTGAAAATAATCGTAATGTCTTTTATTGCGATTAAATACCTCCTATATGACTTGTTAGATACAAGGATTGTCGAATAGTCGCTCAAGATCAACTTTATGTAAACAAACTTCCTATTTCGTAAGTGACACGAAAAATCTCAGGGGGGCAATGGCCTCCACTGTACCCTCCCTCCGGGCGTCTCTGGGGGGAGATGTAGTAAGCAAGTTACTACCTAACAATAAAACCAATTCCACAGGTACATAATTAGTATAATATACTGTAGATCGGCATAAATCGGATATTAGAAACGGAAATAGGATTTCCTACTGGTTAACATAAGGAAACAGGCTCACTGAATAATATAATGACTCAGGAAGCACTGCACACGACGATATTCAAATATAAAATATAAAAGAGTAGAATGATTATTTTAATGAAATATACCATAGATTAACATTTTAGTAATACGCAGAATTATATTGGGAAGTCATAAAATGCGTGGGCTGGAACGATGACCACACAAATCACATCCGTGAGCCGAGATACAGTATCCATAGGCAAGGGGTACAGGGAACCTCATATATAAGGGAGCATATAATTAAAAATTATAACCTGCCAGTGACTGTGTGACTTGATTCAGTTCATTAATATTAAAATTGAAGTTAATTGCAAATTTTGTAAAATAATTATTCACGAATTCGATAAAAACTTCATTGCCGAATTTATCGATGAGTATAGAAATCATTCGGCGTTATGGAATGTTAAAAGTAATATATCAATCAATTGAGTTATTCTATTACATTAAACAATTTTGAAATAGGTATAAAAAACTTTTTTTATCTTATTAGCAATAAATATTATGATTTAATTGTTATGTATCATCTTTTCTTGAAAAGATACTTTTCCTTCACTGTTAAAATATTGTTTGAACTTGTCTCTTACTAGTTTGGCATCTCTAGGTGTATAACTTGAAGTCACTTGTAGAGGAACCATTTCACCAATTTGACGCCATTGTCCTTGAATAATGTTACCTGAATCTATATCTTCCGAATCGATGTGTTTTGTTGAGGTATAATATGTACTAGACTTCTTACTTAAAAAATTATGTAAGACACAGCTCGCAATTACAACTGTGTCAACATTATCAACATCAATATTTAATGGTTGTAAAAAAACCCGAAATCTTGTTGCCAATATGCCGAACGCGTTTTCGACAACCCGTCGCGCTCTAGAAAGTCTATAGTTGAATATATGTTCATCATGACCAGAGCTATGCTTTCCATAAGGTTTCATCAAGTTTTCCATGAGAGGATAAGCTTCGTCACCAATAAACACAAATGGTAGCTAATACTCGACTTGAGGCTGAGGTATTTTTAAATTTTTATTTTCCAGAGACCGGTATAAATCAGTTTCTTTTAAAATACCACCATCAGAAACGCGTCCATTTGTACCACAATGCACATAAATAAATTCATAATTTGCATTTACCACTGTGAAAAGCACCACACTAAATGTCCCTTTATAATTAAAATAATATGATCCACTGTTTGGTGGTTTTGTGATTAATACGTGTTTTCCGTCTATTGCTCCTAAACAGTTATCAAAATCTCAAAAAGACTTAAAATCTTATGCAATTTGCTTCCACTCTGATTCTGTCTTCGGCAACTTAAAAAATAAATAATCCTTAACTTTAGAACATAATAATTGTATGCATACCTATATTTAAATTTTAATAGAAAAATGTCGCTTTGGCCAAGTAGAAAATAGTTTTTCTGTATACCTACAAGGGCTTGACGATTTTATAATAATGTTAAACAAGACCAAAAACGATTTAAATATATAAACGTAATCAAACTAAAACGATTAAAAAAGTTTGATAATATTTTAATTTTAAATAAAATGAACACAAACATTGATTAATTCAAGTCCTGGAGCCACTCTTGTAAAGTATTTGAATAAATGTAGTCAAATAAAAAAATTAAATCAAATTAAATTTTAATACTATTTTGAAAAATTTTTGAAAAAATTATTTAAATACGAATTCTGAATTTCTGTATTTTATATGATTTATTCAAAAATAGTTTCTTTAAATCGAAAAATAGATAATATTTGTTACAAAAGAATTTTTTTAGCACAAAATATCTGGAACATGAACAATGCTTTTTCTCATAGAATGCAATATGTTTGATTCACGTCAATTTTCAACCATTGCAAAACTGACAAAAATTATTAGCTAGGAAAAAAAATTCTATAACAGCATTCGATTACTTTTTCGAATAATCGATTATGTATTCACAAGATATTTTTAAAAATTTATTCGTATTCAGACTACTTATTAATACTAATTTATTCGAATATGTATTCCGAGTTCAAAATTAAAGTATTCTATACAAGACTGCCTGCGGATCAAATATAATTTGTTGTTTTTTTTAATTAAATTGTAAGGATTTTTATTTTTTAGAAATGTTATTGTTTGGATTTAATTAAAGTTAAACTCAAAATAACAAAGTTAAGCTAATTATAATTTATTGTATGTTAATATTTTTAAAATCGTAATAATTCTTTCTATTAGAAAAAATTAACTCGGACAACGATACATATCATAGAAATAAATTCATTATATACATTATATTTTACCAGTTTATACTAACCTCTAATAGTTTGGTCTTAATACGCTATATTATATTGCACGGCAAGTCTCTGGAATGATTTTTCCTATAGCTTGGGCAGATATAGCACATGACAATTTTAGGTCTTCAAAACTCCTTCCAGTGGCCAAAAACCGCAATGTAGCTATAAGCCGCTCTTCTGCAGAAATACTTTCTCGCATCATTGTATTCTGTTTTTCTATTAGAGGTCTAACTAGGTCCAACAACTCATAAAATGTATGATTTTCCATACGCAAATAATTTTTGAAATCTGCAGGTTCATTTGATTGAAGCCCACGTAATAAATTCATGTGAATATTGCCTTCTCTCTAGTAACCACTGATTTGACCATTTCCTTTTTTTCCTCTGTTTATCTTCATCATCCACAGCCATAACAAGAGCAGCTTCAATTAATGATTTTCTTTTTCTTTCCAATAACTCGGACATGGTGCAAACAACAAGTGGAAAATGTTAGAAAATACCAAATTTAAATCTACGAGAACACAACACAACAAATTCGCATTCCGTAGAATACTGTGGTGACGGTTCATCGGGCGTCTCAAGTTGATAGACAAATTGATTTGTGTGTGGAGCATAGATGTTTGACGACAAATCGACCAATGGGTCTGTCGATTTATCGTTCCGTGTATGGGGCCCTTAAGCGGCTTACTCGGTCTTGGCGGCTCTGGTACATCTAATGTGTACTGGGGCCCTGGCCTCTATATATACGGTAGCGGCGTCCTTTGAATTGAGCGGCGCGTGGCATGTAGGCGCCCTTGGTAAGTTGTAGTGGTTTGGAGCGTCCATTCTAGCTATGACCACTTTTGGGTGCGGTCGACGAGGCCGCCTTTCATATAAGTGGTTCTTGTTATTATGAGCGTTTACATGAATTGCGTATTCCCATTACACCTTCCAACCAAAAAAGAGATTGTTAACCTTTAAGGGTTAAGAATCTTTAACAATCATAGTTAAGTTAATTAATCACAATAGTTGATTTACAATTTGACATAAGTAGTATATATGTACCATTCCTGGCGCACCTCATAATATATCAGTAAAAGATCACAAAGAAAACAATGTGCAAAAAGATCAGAAAATTGAAATGCAATAATAATTAAAATATTTTTCACAAAACTTATGAAATGAAGTAATAATAAAAATATTTTTCGCAAAACTTAATTATTAAAAATAAAAAATCGAAATGCAATAATAATAAAAACATTTTTCGCAAAACTTATTAAATGCAAAACCCCCCAAAATATTTTTCATAATACTTATGATATTAATAATTAAAATCGAAATGTAATATAGTGTATTAAAAAATATTTTTAAAGAAATTGAATACCTTAGTTAAAGGAATTGATATTTATAATAAAAGAATGGAATCTATAAATAATTATAATAAGTTACAAGAAATCGAAATGCAAACCGAAGTAGAAAACTATATATTAAATAAAAAAATAAAAAAATGTTATGTGCAATTTTGTGCTTTTGAATATTATGAAAATAATAAAAAAAATAATAAAATATAATCTAAATGAAATTCCAATTAAAGGAAAAATTTTAATCATCGGGAACCAATCAGAACCAACTTATGTTTCTAAATGTCTACAATCACCAACTTGGTTAGAACTTTGTAAAATAGCTAATGATCAAATAATTACAAACAGTCCAGATTCATTCAAATATCTCTATAATATTAGTGCAATGCAAACTTTAGGAGATATTAAAATATGTTCTTTTGGTATGGAAAAACTTAGAATATAACTATATTATTAATTTATTTTTTTAATAGAATTGTTCTATTAAAAAAATGTTCAATATTTAACGTGTGTCCCATTCGGACACGCGTTATTAAAATCCAAAAATCTTTAAAAACGATTTTACACTATAATACATTGAGGGGGACTTATAAAGAATTAAAATCAAAAATGTTTAATGTAAAAATGAAGATTCTAACATAAAAAGCAACGGAGTTATACTTAAATGAAAAATATGAAGCGGGGGGTAAAATTTTAATATGTAGTGTAGATAAGCATATAAAACATATCTGTGTTGATCCGACTTGATAATATCAAATATTAAATGAAATATAGGACATATACGATGGCGTTATTTTTTAATATTTTTAATAGAAATATGGAAAAAAATGCCTAAAAAACCACAAAATCATTCCCAGCTTTGCAGATACCCGTTAGGAAAAAAGGAGGCCGGAACTCTTTTACAGATATCTGCAAAGCTATCGTGGGAGGTGAAGTTACCCAAGCGCATTATCCAGCAGGTCAACGACAGTTTTTCAGTAGATTGCATAGGTGTGTGCACCCACCTATACAATCTACCGTAAACGTCTTCAAAGCCTGATGAAATTAGTAGGTGAACAAACTGAACATGGGCGCCACACATTCTCCCACCAGTTTCAATCCGACCAAGAACACATTTTAAATCAAACGCGTTACCGACTGAGCTACAACACTTGGGCATGTATAATGATTATTTAAACACTATTTAAATAATTCGATAAAAAAAAAAAAACATCATAATATAAACTATACATATATATTATGATAAGATATTCAATACCGGATGTTAAAAAATAATCAGTCCAACGTTGATATATATACAGGGTGATCCATTTAAGTGGGTACACTAATTATCTCGAAAAGTATTAACTTTTTTTTATTTTTTATTTTTTTAAACTGTTAGATTAATGCTTTTCTAAAACTCTATACTATTTTAATTTTTTTCACCCTTATATTTATTGGTGAAACCACTATCAACTTTTGATTTTCAAATGGTAACATATAATAAAAAGATCATGAATTAATAAAACCATTTTTTTATGAATTTACGCGTT